GAATGACAATAACAGCTCATAGGAACAAGATGTGTTGCTTGAGGTTTAAAATAGGAATGACAAGTGTAGTAGAGATATAGAATAGAAAGATGTAAAAATATAATGAAATTGGACTTTAAAGAAAATAGTATAGATACAGAGTGTCTAGAAAATAGATAAAATATAATTTTAATTAAGATTAATTTCTATTTTAGAACTAGAAATTAATGAAAACTTGTTCACACTATTTATAATTTACCATCTTTTTTATTATTTCCTTTTTTTGATGAGCTTTCCTTCTGTAAAATAAAAGTATTTCCCCAGCCATTGAAACGAGACACCCATCCTATTTCCAAGTTTCCAGTACTTTTTGTCTATTGAGCCTAGGTCAATCTGGTTATTGGCTGTTCAAAAAAGAATCTGCAAGAGAGGCCATCATCTCTATAAGCATCGTAGGGTAAATTACTTTATGTTGCCATTGCATGTGGTTTTCTCAATAAAATACAGCAATGGTTTAGTATTGTCTTCTCCCATACAATATGAAATTATAGCATTGTTGTGTTCATTAAACAACAATCTGCTTCCAGCATCTTCCTATGCTGGTACTGTTAATATAGGAGCTAGTTGCTTTAGTTGGATAACTTGGATGATTTTCATGGCTTGAATTTCCTGCTGGGAATAGACCAGTGGTGGGTTGCAGGTGGTATGCCCCAGTACGGGCATACCAGAGCCTGCCCGGAGCACCGCGTACCGTTCCAGTACGGTGCTCTGGAGGACCCACCCGCCCGTGCTCCTTACCTGTCTTTAAACTCTTTGGGACTTCCATGCATGCGCCTGTGCAACACTCCACTGAGCAGCTGGAGCATCGCAGAGGTTCGTGGAGGTGTCGCTGGACTAAGACGCATATGCATGCTGCGTGTGTTCATGTGGAAAATGCCGGGCCCTGTTGCAACCAAAGTAGACTTTTTTGATATACATTCCTGGCTTTCTTTCCTAATTTCCACCAGGAACACACACCAACCCCACACATGTTGTGATGATACAACGCAGATGGAGGGGGGTTGTTATTCTGTAGAGATAGCCCAATGGTGCTTTTTTTGAAAGACAACTGGACTTTATTTTTTCTTGAACATGTTTCACTTCTCATCCAAGAAGCTTCTTCAGTTTTGTTTTTGGATGAAAAACGAAACATATTCAAAGAAAAAGTCTAGTTGCTTTTCAAAAAAGCATCTTTGGGGCAACCATGATCTGGATGACTGAGAATTTCTGTAGAAATTACTCTATAGGAATCCATTACTGCAATTACACTCATACATGGAAAAAGTTATTTGCAAATTATGGGTATCACTTCACTTACTTCCTATTGTCAGTCAGCAATCCTCCTATGTCTAGAAAAGGTTTCTTTCAATCACTACTGATTTATGCAGGAATTATTCCCTTAAATTTTAGAATTCTATTACTATAAAATTTTGTTCCATCTGAAATTCTTTATCTTTAATTGTTGTTTGTTTCGCCAGTCACTAACCCTAATAAGATTCCTATACGTTAGACATTAATTTGTAATTTATAAATTAAACTGAACTTATTTATATACTGTATACTAAGACAAGGAGGAAATGGATGGCAATTCCTCTGTATTGACAGTTTAATTTCATCTTGAATTGAAGATTACACTTCAATTAAGTTTGAACAAAAGTCAAAGAATTAAGGATAATTTTATATCAGATAACCCTTCAAATAGTCTATGGTCATCACATAAAATGTTTATGTAAAATATAGCAACTGCCACACTTACAGTATTTCTATAATATTTCAGCAAATATATATTTTATGTTAGACAGTTGAAGGGGATGTTATACTTACAGGCAGAAACATTTTGTCAGCTAACATATGAAATATATAGAATTTGTTCATGCAACAAATTTTACATACAGCCAAAAAAACCTGTAGAACCAATTGAGAATCTAGTTGCATTATGACACTTCCTGATTATAAAAAGGTTTCTATTTTAGATCACAGGTCTTAAGGCAAAAACAAATCTTTTGCTTGCCTGGGTTGATGAAAGACATCACTGAAAAGCTAAAGGTAAGGAAACTTCTATTTTATGCATTAGCATATGTGCACAATTTGAAAATTGTCAAATTTTCAACTTGAATTATGATTTCCAATTAAGGGAACATTGCTAAAGACTTTGAACATTACAAAATTATGTATTGAATGAATGTTATCTTTTAAAACTATATGCAAGCCTAAAAATCTCTGTTGTTTTAATAAACCAATCAAGGTGAAGGAAACAACAGCTGAAGTAATGAATATATGAGATACAAATAAAATAAAATAAAATAACATAACATAACATAAATCTACTTAGCTGTATAAATAAACAGGCATTGGTACCAGTACACAAGCTGAAAATTACTAACAGGTTCAAAATGGAAAATACAGCTATTTCTTACATGGGTACTTGTAATACCCATGTAAGGGTGTGTACATGAGTACCACTTTAGATATTCCTAAAAATTTGAGAAAAGCAGGTGAGGCTTTAACTTTTTATAAATGCAGTATGGAAATATTTGATTCAGAATGGAAGGCTCTCTTAGGCCAATACACCACCCAGGATTTGTTGTGAGGAAAATAGGAGGAGGAAAAAGTACTAAATATGTTCATCATTTATTTATTTATGTTATTTATTTTTAAAAAATGACAGGAAAAACCTCTAATAAATATTTGATGATCCATTATGCTAGTTTTCCATTTGCTTTACTTCAGAACTCTTCAAATAATAGTTTTATTTGTTCAATTCTTAATATTTCCTTCATAGTTACATAAATGTGTATTTATTCAGCAAATCAAGGAACAATTAATCTTGAGTTAGCATTCCTGCAAATACAGCCAGCACATTGTAAGAACCCAACCAATGGATGAATAGCTTTACTATCACTTTCTTTCAGCCAGTGAAAATTACTAACAACATCTAAGTCTGTTCAGCCAACCACAAATTACTGTATGTTCACATAACACACTGCAGGATTTGCACAACAGGCTCAGTGTTTTTGATCTGATTTCCAAAAAGTATTTTGGAGAATGTGAAAGTAGCTATTTGCATTTCATTACAGCAGCTACTTCTTTTCAAAGGGATATTTCCTGTAGACTCTGTCTCGAATTGAATCCAAAACAGGGGAGATTCTGACTGTGCTGGCTAAATTCACAGAATACATCAACCACATACCAGCAAATCTCAATTCAGGCTGTTGTGCAAATCATTTAGATAGAGAGTCATGACCAGTATTCAGAACCCAGAAAACTGCACATAAGCCCATAGTTCTATAAACATGCATATGCTAGCATGTTATATGAACAGGATCTTCTTCTAAAATCCATTAGAATAAGCCTACAAATACTAACCTAATATTGAGTAAGGATGTCCTTCAGAAAAAGTAGAATAAAGCTTTATAAGACCATTCTTATGGGAAAGGACACGATACTTTTGGAAGCTACTAGAGAAGTTGGCTACTGTACCCTACATAGTGGACTTTCTACTCTAAATTGCAGTAAAGACTGCAGTACAGCAGCTATTTTTGTGATAGCTGCAAATCTTTTCCAAATTGAGGATAGTAAGAGGAGGTAAGTAATTTCTATTTCTCTTTGTCCTTTAAATAGTCTTGCTTCATCGTTCAGAGCTTTCTGCCCCCACTTTCAAGTCTAATCATGATAAGTGGAATGGCAGCATCTAGTAGATTTGGCTGTAACCTCTGCAAGAGTAGAAAGTGGCCGTGTTAAAAAACAACACATATTTTACTCTCTGAGCAGTGGAGACACAGGAATGATAAAGGAAGAGTAAACTCTTTCTCTTTCACCCACAAAAGGCAAGGAGGAGGTGAGTCAGTGCAGATGAAAAGCAGCAAATATCTGCAGCCCACCTGCAAGAGCAAGGGAAGCACAGCTTCTCTTTCAACATGATTGACCAGCTTCCTCTTTCAAACCATGTTACCAAACGAATTTGCATCATTTTAAAGCCAAATAGCAATAGCACTTAGACTTATATATACCACTTTGCAGTGCTTTACAGCCCTCTCTAAGCGGTCTACAGAGTTAACATATTGGCCCCAATAATTTGGGTCCTCATTTTACCCACCTCGGAAGGATGGAAGACTGAGTCAACCTTAAGCCTGGTGAGATTTGAACTGCCAAATTGCAGGCAGCCGGCACTTTCATGATATCATTTTATACCCTCCACTTTCATGATTATCATTTTGTCTTAATTATTTCAGAAGAGATAAGATTTATCTTTACCAAGTCATTTACATGAAATAAAATGAATTGATAAGAGCAATCTCTAAATCTTGAGAAAGGGAGCTATTTATGGGTAATTACCAATGTCCAATGCTTAATATATCAAATTGCTTGTATTTAACAAACTGCAGAGATTTTTTGGCGATGAAAATTAATTAGAAATGCTCAGCGCTTTTTGTAGAGCACAAATAGAATAACAGAGTTGGAAGGGACCTTGAGGGTCTTCTGGTCCAACCCCCTGCTCAAGCAGAAAACTCTATATCATTTCAGACAAATGGATGTCCAATCTCTTCTTAAAATCTTCCAGTGTTGGAGCACCCATAACTTCTGAAGGCTTCCATTGGTTAATTGTTCTCACTGTTAGGAAATTTCTCCTTAGTTCTAAGTTGCTTCTCTTCTTGATTTGTTTCCATCCATTGCTCCTTGTCTTGCCTTTAGTGCTTTGGAGAACAGGTTGACCCACTCTTCTTTGTGGCAGCCTGCTATGATAGCGACACTGTTATCATGTCACTCTTAGTCCTGAATGACTTTGGGTGCATGAAGCCTCAGGATATGAGTGTTTGTCATACTTAGTTCAGGACAAGGTTGCTTTATTCTATTCAGACCTAGTTTGTACATAGGGATTCTCCAGGACTCGAGACTCCCACTCGAAGATCAGGTGGTGGTTGTGACTAGGAGAGCCTTTGCACAGTTTTGGTTTATACACCAGTTGCAGCCTTTCCTGAATCAGGACTACTTGCCCTCAGACACTCAAGCCTCAGTCATCTCGTCTAGATTGTTGCAATCTAATTTACATTGGGCTACATGAAAGCTTCCACTGGTACAAAATGTGGCAGCACAAGAAGTCTTTGGAGGCCCCTGGATGCTTTGCAAACTGCATTGACTGCTGGTTTGCTTCCGGGTGCAGTTCAAAGTGTTCATTATGACTTTTAAAACCCTCCCATGGCATAGGACCAGACTACTTGGTTGAAGCATCTTGTCTTGCTAAGACAACTCTGTCCTACTCATGCTAGCAGAGGAAGCCCATTGATGACCCCATTGTCAAGAAACTCCAGAGAAGGTCCAGAAGAAGAGTCTTCTCTGCTGCAGTGCTGGACTTCTGGAACCTTTTCCATCCTAGGGTGAGATTTGTCCCCACTCTCCTATCCTTCTGAAACAGCCTGACGACCTGGCCCTGCCAGATGACCTGGGCACTCAACAGGAGTGTACATCATTGAAGGTAGTTACTGAACTACTTCGCTAACTCCACCTCCCCCCTGTGCTTCTGCTCCCCCTCTGTCCATCTTTTTAATTCCATATTATTGTATTTCCTTTATTTATATTGTTTATCCCTTTGCTATTGTCATGTTTATATTTTTAATCTTTTTTCCATTTTGTTGTTGTACGGTGCCCAGAGTTGGCTCATAGTGAGATGGGCAGCAAATATATTTAACAAATGAATAAATAAAATAAAACTTGCTGGGATTCTTTAACAGCAAACTCAGACCTCAGGCCCATATAAATTACAAACACTAACTGTTTGGCTAGTTAAGTCCTCAATTTAACATAATACTGAGTGTATTATGTTTTTGAAGATTAATGCACTCCATTTTTCTAAAGTGCCCTCTGTACAGTGCAAACCTGGAATTGTCTGATTCTTGGTGCTCCTTACAATGCAAAACTGTTCTAATGAATAGTTAAACTTGATCATTCTCTTATTTTATTCTTAGCGTATTAGAAAGCTATGAATAACTACAATCACAGTCTAATTACAATGATTGAAAATAGCCATCCTGAAGAATACCGAATTTCATCACTCGTCTTCTACAGCTTCATTTTTACAACTGGGTTAATTGTAAACATTACAGCTCTCTGGGTCTTCAGCTGTACCACCAAGAAGAAAACAACAATAACTATCTACATGATGAATGTTGCGTTGCTTGACTTGTTGCTTATATTCACCTTGCCTTTTCGAATGCATTATTATGGGATACGCTCTTGGATCTTTGGAGATGTCTTCTGCCGGGTTCTTAGTGCTTTCACTATTTTTTATCCCAGCATTGCAATATGGCTGTTAGCTTTTATAAGCATTGATAGATGTCTGGCTATAGTTCAACCGAAATATGCCAAGGAACTCAAGAACACAAACAAAGCTCTGATGGCTTGCACAACACTTTGGATCATAACTCTTGTGACAACTTCTCCACTGCTTTTCTTATATTCTGATCCAGACAAAACTTCAAATTTCACTAGCTGCACAAAGATGATGGATATTATCTACCTAAAGGAAGTCAATGTATTAAATTTTTGTCGGTTAATATTTTTTTTCTTGATTCCTATATTTAACATGCTTGGTTGTTATCTAGTCATTATTTATAGCATAATTCGTGGAAGAATTTCCAAGCTGAAACCAAAGGCTAAAGAAAGATCGATCAGAATCATTGTAACACTAATTATCCAAGTGCTTGTATGTTTTGTGCCTTTTCATATTTGTTTTACATTTCTGATGCTCCAAAATGGAGACGTAAGCTACAACCCTTGGGGAGCATTTACCACCTTCCTCATGAACCTCAGCACATGTCTAGACATAATCCTTTACTACCTAGTTTCTAAGCAATTTCAGGCCCGAGTTATCAGTGTTATGCTTTATCGTAATTATCTTCGAAGTGTTCGGAGAAAAAGTATGCGATCTAGTAGTGTGCATTCATTAAGTAATATTAACAGTGAGATCATATAAAGTAAGGCAATACAATACAAATACAAATATATTTCAGAGCAATACCATATACATGCATTAAGTAAAGCTTAGAATAAACTCAAATTTTCAATAAATGTATCATGTTGAAAAAGGAGAGTTTTTTATTATTCCTCTTTTAAATGGTTTTTTTCTTTGAAAAAAGAAATTATTCTAGCTTGAAATGCATAATCATTTCTGTCTTTTTAATATAAATATATTCCATTTTCCCTTCATTATTTATTCAAGCATTATTTTTGCTACTGAGGTTTCAACTTCGTAACTTCTATGAGTTGCACAATTTATTAAGAGAGTGATACAAAAAAAAAGGATTGTTCAGAATCACATGATTTCAATCTTTACAGTATTGAGAAGGAGTGGGAATTCCATATTTCTAAATCAAGTGTTTCATCTTTAACAAAATTTAAGTCTAACGTATGCATCCCTTAAAGCAAAATGAAAAGATCTCCAAACATGCTAATTCGTTTTAAATTACTTCTGGGAATCATTTGCATGTGCTTTCATTTGTCAAAATAGGTGGCTATCTCCTCAAAACTATGGTCAGGCTGATTTAATTTGTGCAGGGGGGGACCATAAGGAAATTCACTGTTGTAAACCTTTTTGAAAAATAAGGAATAAAAAAGGCAATAGCCAGCCATTTCTATATTAGTGGTAATAAAATGATACTGAGATGTGTTTAACTTGGAGAGATATTACTTTAGTTGCCAAGGCTAATGCATATTCAAGTGTTATTGCAGACAGCATATGTTACTCTGCATCTAGTTGCTTATAATATAGATTTTGTTATAATTCTTATTATTAATTAACAGGAGAGAGGAGAATGTCTGGGCTGAAGGTACTTTGCATCTGCAGTAATGCTGAACTAAACACCAAAACCTTTTCTCCTGCCAAGTAATATGAAAAATAATAATAAAGAAAGTGATACTTAAGGTAGCACAGCTAAAACTGAGGCATGGAAGAAAATGCCTAACAATGCATCAAATCAAAACACTTCTTTATCAGTTGTTTTTTGTCGCTCTCAAATACAACCATGTCCTCTTTATAATCAGTCCGCTTACTGTGAATTTAAAGAAGCTTGTAATATAACTCCCATAGGTGATGCCAGATTGGGAAATGTTACTCTAGAGCAGTGGTTCCCAACTTGGGGCCAATGCCTCACAGGAGGGCAATTTGATTTTTAATGGAGGTAATTTGAACTGTGTTTAAACCAAGTTAATGGCCTTTTAGGCTTCCTCCGCATGAGTAGAGTTCACTTTTTGAGTAAAGTAAGAATTATATGTCATAGGGGAGGGAGGGCATCAGGATTTTAAAGATGCTTAGTGGGGCATGGCCAAAAAAAGGTTGGGAACCACTGGCTTAGAGTCATGTATGGAGGTAAATAAATAAAGGCTTAAACACAGTGCTGAATTTAACTCTTCAACCGCAATGGGAGTTCATGGGGGTAAGGGGTGTGTGTGTCTCTGTGTGTAATAAAATAAAATAAAATATTCTAGAAAATAAAAGGCAACACACTAAAAAGTTTGTAGCCTGGTCAGCAACTAGCTCAGCCAATCTGATTTCAAGTTTATCCAGTCATAATTGGATAGCAGCAAGAAATTTTGGAGATACAGAGTTGAATCCAAAGCCATCTGTTAATTGGTAAAACAGTATCTGAAATTAATTGTACCATCTTATCTGTATTTACCCTAAATCTGCTCCAAAGAATCAGATGACCCTTCAGAGGAGATCTGAGAGACAGCCCGGTGGCCTTAAAATTTGATAAATAAATATGAGGACGGTAAAGGGGGAAAGCAGAACATCTATCAATGAACATGCCACACAGATTGAAATCATTAGCAGTATAGCTATATTAAACTCACATTTGGGAATGCAGCATTCTGAAGAATTTCATTTCTCTTCTGGATGAGGCCAAAGCTTCCCCAGACCTTACCATTCTGTGGGCAATTGGCAGTTTCCAGAAATAAAACTTCCAAGCCAGATGTTGGTCAGAGCCCCTAACAGGCTTATTGTATCCAAAGGTTGAATTATTTCTGATTCAGAAGATTTATCTATGAGAACTGCTAAACTACCTCCAGAGCAGTTCTGAAATTCTAAAGCGAGAACAGAGTTCAACAGGTCTAAAGAATATTCAGTTGCTGAATGGCTGAATTTCACACAACCCAAATTAATAATGCTAAACATTTCATTTTTATAAATTTCAATAGCCCTAGAAATAATATTTAAGATACAAAGAGATATAAATATCTCTTAACAGTAAACTTACAATCCTGAAGGCAAGCTGCTGACGTTGAGGCCCAAAGAATATTCAATAGCTTCTACCAGGACAAAATCAAACATCACTGATAGCATCCAGGAACCCAGTAAAAATGACTGAAAAAATAAAAATTCATGATCACAAACTGTCCATATTTTATAACAAAAAAAATATCCATTAAAAATGTTGCATAGGATTATTACCTATTCAGCATGCTCACGGAAAATGGACTGTATTTATACTACACATGGCCTACAGGCCACATGAGCCCCTGGACAGCTAGTAATGTGGCCAACAAGATAATAAAAAATAAAGGAAGTTTGTTATTTATATACATTAACTATATATTTTATATGCAACAAGACAACTCCCCTTCACTCAATGCACTCTGACAAGCCAAAAGGTTGCACAACCATGATCTACACCAGTGGTAGTCAATCTGGTCCCTACCGCCCACTTGTGGGCGTTCCAGCTTTCATGGTGGGCAGCAGGAGTTTTGTCCGATACTGAAGCACTTTCCTTTTTTAAATTTAATTGACTTCCCTACTTTATAAATCACCACTACTGTGGAACCGGTAGGCGGTTAGAAAATGTTATTACTAACAGAGATACAAAAATGGGCGGTAGATATAAAAAGGTTGACTACCCCTGATCTACACTGTTCACAAAATATCTAAGCAGCATATTGTTTTGTTACATGCCATTTTCATCTAGAAATTTGTTAAAACTAGTGCTTTTAAAGCTAATTGAATTATTGTAATGTTAATTAAAGAAAAAGGTAGCGGTATTGCTTATGAATTGTAATAAATATATGGAATTAGTCTACAAAATGGTAACAAGCCCTAGCTTCAACTGATAAGCATAGCACAGAAACCTGGAGCTCACAAGGGGGCATGCAGAGAGCTACAAAGTACAGTATCTACATACACTTTGACATCAGGCCAGGACCTAATAATAATTATTATTAATCTAAGAAAATAACAATAATCACGAGTCCCTGAAAATGGAGCACTATACTCTGGTCTGGAATCCACAAGAAGCAATTACAATACAGTAATGTCACAAACAAGCTGTCCTACTTTTTAGGAAATATCAACATATTCCTCCCCAGAGACACATCAGAAATAGAGTGTGAAGTTCGACAAATGAGAGCTGGTCTTTTGAATATTTACACCTATTCTCAAGAAGACAGCACTTGAGATAAGTGATACACGTTAGATGAGGCTATATGTAACTCGTAAAACCTCGTAGCAAATTGCTCTGTTAGCTGAATTCTGTCCAAGTTCCTGCTGTTCAGGACCTTTATTACTGATCTCTAAAGGTATTGTCTTATGGATTTCTGCAATATAGAACAGGAGCAAACCAAGACCCAATTTATACACTTCAGTGCATACTAATGCACTCACACAGAGAGTGCATCTTCAACTGCTACCTTAGAATAGAAATGGTCATTTATTCATTCAGACTGCTACGTACTAGTCTATAAATTAGATAGAGACAAATAAAAACAGTGAAATATATGTATAACATTATACAATAGTTCTCAACTTATGGTTCACCTTATGACAATCCAAATTAATGACAGCCTTGGAAAGGGGGCTTTACAACATATAAAGCAGAGTTCTCCAACCTTTCTGGCTTTACAGACCGGGGAGGGGGGAGGAGGGAGGAGGGAATGTTTTTGCGCAAGTGGTGGGCAAACATGCACGTGAGTACATAAGCTCGTTTTGCACGAGCTTATGGCATGTATGCATGCCACTTACACAAATGGAGCATGCACACATGTGCTTGCCTGCCGCTCACACAAGTGGAGATGCGTGCGCACGCACTCGCCTGCCACTTCCGCGGTCCACTTCTGAACAGCTCACGGCCTGGTAGTGGACCCAGAGGTTGGGGACACCTGGTATGAAACACTTCTGACTGTTGCACAACCTCTCCGCGGTCACATAATTGTGATCTGCGTGCTTAGCAATTTGTTTGCACTTATGACAGGTTGCTAAACACCCCGTGGTCATGTGATCACCTTCAATGGGGAAGTCAAAGAAGATTGAAAACTACTGCTGTCTGCCAAGAAGTCTGAAGGAACTCTGCACCAAAATCCAAGTAGGCACAAGACTGAACTCCTTTGGCAGGGAGTTCTTTCAGCCAGCCCCCAGGGCGAGATGGAGCCAAAATCCAAGCAGGATTTTCAGCCCATGACCAGAGAGGCAATGTATTAAGTTAAGGAGTCCAGGATGCCTCAGGGAGCTGGAACAGAGCCTCACAGGCCCAGCACAGGCCACGTGCGACTTTCTTTCTGTTCAGGGTCTGAAAATTCTGCTTGGATTTTAACAGGGAGGACTTTCAGCTTCTGAAAGTCAGGTTCCCATAGTCTCCCCACCCCCAAGGCACCCCCATGTTCTTTATTTGAGACTCTTGTCTGCTTAATGGCTTGCGAGATGATTTAATGACTAAAACTGTTAGGTGAACCAGTTATATGACATCTTGCTTAACTGCTATGCTCTACAACCAAACGTTTGATCTCAGTTATGTTAAGTTGAGGGCTATCTATTACAAACAAATAATTTATAAAAGTGGCAGGTTCATTATTTCCACTTAAAGCTCCCCAAAATGGGTATTCTTACTGCATTGCAAAAAGTAAATAAGACTGGAGAATCATGAATTTGAGGTCAAGGTTTCCACAGTAGGGATCCCCACGCATTGCTGGGGTTCCACTTGTTTTTCTCAT